TTAAGCCAGACTTTGCGAATCGCGCGATTCGCTAGCGTCCGCGGTCGCGTTGCGGTACCAGCCAATTGAGTGATTCACTGGCCGCGACGCGACCGCAGACGCTAGCGAATCGCGCGATTCGCAAAGTCTGACATCGGCCTTAGCATCTATCATAGTAGAACTGGAATAAGAATGGCGGGCTCTCACAAACTGCTTCAACAGGGAATGAACAAATCCCTCCTACTCTAAATCACAGAATTGTGCGTGGCGCATCCCAGTGTTTGAGTTTTCAGGTTGATTTATCATGAGTAAAAACATTGCTTTAGAGGAATCTTTCGGACTAAATCAAGCGAATTGCAATGAAGTTGAAGGGTTGACATCTCACTCAGTTATTCGTAAGAAGTGATTTTAGCTGTGATCAGAAAGCCCAGATCTAGTAGTTTTCAAAAAAAGACGCTATTTTAAAGGAAGTTCTGACTGTTGAAAGTTTGAAAACACGCAAGCTCAGAAAATAGCCGAAAACAAAGAAAATTAAAAAACGGGCGCTTGAGAAATTACTAGGATATTAACCTTAAAAATGATTCGTCTTCATTAGAAAGCTCAAATCCTGACCTTTCGGCAGCGGTTCTGGGTTGAGATAATTTTGGAGAAAATCTGATTGCTGGAAACTTTAAAAATCGCGCGGCGAAAAAGTTCTTTTCCTTGCCACTCTTGTCAAATAGATATTAGGTTGGAAAGAAAGTCCTGCAACACTTTTTCAAATTTTTGATTTTAATTTTATCTTTTTTGTTTACAACTCCTGACCGGTCTTATATCTACCATGAGTGTCCACCACTTGTCTTCAACGCTCAGAAAATTTCTTGATGCTCCTTTGCCAAAACCCAGCGGAGTGCGGGTCGAGAAAGGAGGCGACCTCTTCGAGTTGGAGTTGATCGTCTAATTATTTCGTCATCAAGATGATGATTTAAGGTCCAGGATAGGTGGCAGTCATTTATAGCTCGACCAGGGGAATACGCTAAGAGAGGTAAGAAATCTTGCCGCAGCTCCAGAATTTCTT